CCTTGCCTAACTTGCAACACCAACAACAACCAACAAGAAAAACACACACAAACAACGCACTGCAGTCGGCTGACCTGCGGAGAAGATTGCAAGCGCCAGCGCTAGCGCAGGCAGCAGCTGCTGTCGATAAAAATTTCTTTCTGTTATTGGATTTTTCGGTTTATTATGAACATACATATGTACAAATGAATGTTTGTAGTCGTATTATTTGCGGATCATATTGCTTTTCAATTTTTATTTTTATGGTTGCATCTGTTGTTTTCGACCAGCGCTGCAGTTAAACTTGCGCAATTATTTTGTTGTTGCAAGTTGGCTATTTGATTGCACCGCTCAGCGTTCGACTGTTAAGCGTTTTTTTTTTAGTTTTTGTTTTACGCTTCTTCCCATTTTTTTGCGTCTATTATTGTTGGGAGTTTTATATTTACTATTGCGTGGTTTTATATCACATACATATATAACTATTTTGTTTTCGCTGTAAAATTTTTTTTTTATTTCTTGTTATGTATGCTTTTTTGTTTTCCTTTATATAAAATCAGTTCTGTATTGCTGTTGATTGCTTCATGATTCAACTGGGACATTTTGATCCCGCTGGCATGTTGGCATGAAAATGGCGTCATCGTAATCAGCTGTTACATAGCTGATGATTGAAGTTTTGATCGTGTTTTATCTGCTTGATTTTTGTAGTTTTTTTTTTAAGTTAAATGAAGCAGCTGCTTCCCTGATCTTAAGAAATACATGCAACAATATGGAATTCAATTCCTCTCTTAATGACAAAACAACAGAAATTAACAAGAATGATAGAATGCAAGATTGCGCCGATCAGAGAGGATTTTTGAGAATAACTTTTGTGTGACGTCACACTGGTGCAATTGCGAGAGAGAAATGCCAAAACGTGAGCAACAATGGAAGAAGAAGAAAGAATTTTGCAAGGAAAACGTAAACAAGTTGCACCAGTGTGACGTCATGTAAACAACGATTCCGTCAAATTCGTTAAGAGAGGAATAGCGGTCCGAGATCGGCGCAACCTTTGAAGTCTCTCAATCGTGAGAAATTAAGTGAACAATAGGCTTTTAATAAATATTTCGAGTAAAGAGCACTTCTTTTCCAACCAACACTATATCCAAACTGATATAAGTATAGGGAAGACAAGCTCCACAAGCTTTTGTCGCAAGACAACGAGCCAGTTACTCGGAAAAACCTTCAATCAGGCCACTGCGTCTGGTAGCGAAGGATATTCGGAGACCTACAAGCTATCCCGACAAGCTAACCCTACGAGAGTACAAGAAGCTTCTAAGAATGTCGGAAAGAACCAAATGGAAAGACTTCTGCGACGGGGTGGAATTTATCTTTGAGGGAGTCGGACTACGGAGGATAATCTCAGCGGCTGCCCAGAGAAGTTGCTGCTAGCAAAGACCTGATGGCTCTTGGACTTAAACCGAGGAGGAATCTCTGCATCTGCTTCTAGGCACACACTTCCCGGGAGCAACGGTCAGCAGACCAGTGCGGCCACATTTAATTGGAAATCATTCAGTCACTGAAGTTTTCTTCACTAGGGAAAAGGTCGTCTGATCTAACTATAGGGGCGTTTAAGCCTTACAAATCACAAGTTCCGAATAGCATCGCCCCCACACAGCTGCAGCAAACATTACAGCAAAGCTCATCGTGGCCACGCGCAATAATTAAGGGAATATTAGCACTTAATCACATGCCTAGAAGGTGGATGAAAACGAGATTGGGAGATGGTGAAGGAAAATTTTATAAAAACATAAAACAGCAATCCATTTTTTTAGGCCCAGTTGATGGAAAGCTGGTAACAAATGTCTATAGTAAGGAGAGAGGCAATTGTCGCAGATTTTTAATCTCGACTCAAAAGAAACGATTTTAGTTCTAAATAAAATAAGAATCCGACTCAAGTCTGTGCTGGATATAAAACTCGCAAAGGAAAGGTTGTCTCAGTTACTGTAGGCCTCCCCATTTTTGTCTAAGCTAATCACTAATCGCTAATTTGAAAACGTAGTACCCTAGCCTTGAAAGCTAACTCTATTGAAACATTTCCTCCTCCCGACTATTTTCCGCCAGTAGGTTTCTTATGATCGACTGTTAACTTTACCAACAACTTTCCGACTGCAGTAAACACTCAAATATCTCATAAAATCTGATGATGATTGATGCTGCAGCAAAAATCACAACCGTTACAGCTACTGTTACAATGCTCTCTGTCTGCTAAGTATGTAAGACTGCGTGTTGTTGCTATTGATCTCCAGTCTCCGCTGCTGATCTTCATTTGCGAACAACCTGTTGCAGGCTGCTACCGGCAATCGATCGCATCGCTCAACCAACCCAAACAGCAAGATAACCAGACATGCGGCCAAGTAACTAGCCAGTATGGCGAAAAGTAACAGAGGCAGCATCACCAACAGCAGCAGTAGGAGCAGCATTTGTTGCATGAAAACGCAAACGTTGTAGCAATTTCACTTTCATTCGCCGAACGCGCGCGTACCACGGCAGACGTGTTTTTCGAATAGCCGTCGCAGCAGCAAAACGCCTTGGAAGCTGAACGATCAGTCGGGACGAAGTGTGGGATTCCTTTACTCACAGGCTATTGCAAGAAATTAATTGGAATTTTTGAATAAAAAAAAAACAAACAAACAGTGCATTCGAAAAGTCTGTGTGTGGTAAAAATATATTTGAGTTCTAAATTTTCTTAACCACAGCTTGTTGCCAGCGCTGTGTCAAGCGGAATTTTCGTAATTGCTTGCATCTTCGCCGCGCATCTTTAATATTTTAATTTGCCACATTGTGTGGCAGCTACATAATTGCTAATTTTTTTTCGCGCAAAACCCAATTTCATGCACGGTCTTGAAATCGCTTTTCCACGGCTATCAAATAAAATATAAAAGAAAACTGAATAAACTTTATTTCGTTCGTGCAACTAATTTGTGAAACTAAGTGAATCTAATTTTGTACGTCTTTTTTTTTAATTTACCTTTTTGGTGATTACTTGTTTATGTGTGAAACTATTTTGTATAGAAATACGTGTATATTGTATCTGCCACAATAGCCGTGCAATTGCAGCGAATTACAGTGACATTTTTTTCAAGTGGTTTCACATGCCGCCAACAACAATTTACTCATCACTCAGACGCCGTCTTTGAATGGAAATTGAAGGTTTGTGGAAGGTTTTTTTCGTGGTTATGAAAGAAAGTTGCTGTTCGCAAATTCTTTTTTTTTT